CAGCCAGCGTGCAGTCTCAGGACGGTCCGTCAGCGTGAAGAAGGCAATGAGACCTAGAGCGATAGTGATAATGCCTTCAATGGCGAATATCATGCGCCAGGTCTTTAGGCTACCGAAATGATCGAGTTTTAGAATGGCCGAGGCCAACAGACCTCCAAATGCACCTGCCAGCGGAGCCATGACAATGTAGAGCGAGATGCGGAACGCTAACTCACTGCGCCGGTACCATCGCGATAGGTAATAAGCAATACCCGGCATCATTCCAGCCTCGAAAACCCCCAGCAAGAATCGGACTCCCGATGCAGAGTGAATATTTTGGACGAAGGCGGTTCCAAGGGAGCAAATACCAAAAAGCAGAGTGGTCAATGGAAGGAACCAGCCCGGGCCCATCCATTTACAGACAATATTACATGGCACCTCGAAAATGATGTATGAAATGTAGAAGACGGACAACACCTTATTGTAATCGTTGCCTTTTAGTTTCAGGTCTTTCTCCAAGCCGGCCAACTTGGCATTTCCTGATGTGCGACAAGGTGGTCAGTAACTTGGAAAAGGTATCACCGCTTGAGTCGGCGAGGCTATAGGAGTGGGATTAAAATACCAATGTTTGCACGGTCAATGAAACAGAACAGATATAGCAGCGCGACGGTGGGCACAATATATAAATCGATCTTCATTCGCAATCGCCGCTCAGCTAAGCGATCAAGTTCCACCAGTGCGCGACCATACTGGTCCGTGGCAGCGTGTCCGCGCTCTGCTGCTATGTCCGTGGATTGCAAAATCGTATCCTCCTTGTGGTGAGAGTAACACTGCTTCTCATCGGCTATGAGGGTAGCCGGGGTTAGGGTTGATGTCATGTTACAATGTCTTGCAGTTGAATCCAGAATGAAGATTTATAGGAACGGTAGTCAGGCAGTCAAAGAACAAGAGCCCTAGATACAGCAGATCATTGAATCAAGCTGAGAGCTCGGGTACTTATGAATCTCCAGGAGCTTACATGGTACATCCCGGTAGACTTTACCGAATAGATGTACGGAAACTGTGCTCGGCTGATCTCAAGGGATCGTGCAGACCCGCTAGATGAATGCGGAAAGGCTGTAGAGAGATAATTCGTGGCAATAAAAGTTATAGGTGACTTGGCACTTCTTTCTTTGTTCCCTTGTTATAGCCAATCCCCGGGTGTTACAGGCTATTTTTGCATTTCGTGAGTTGGCAAGATTTCCAAGGTTGGCGAGACCTCATAATGCCAGGCTTATTTCATGGGCATCATGCCAGTCACATGCGTCATACTCGAGGACCACATGTGGTGCTCTATACAGAAGAGATAGACCTACCCCAGATGTCGGGGAAAGCTGGGGAGTGGGCCAAGCAAAGTTCGTATACCATTCTAGTCTGCAATCATAAAGGGGTCCAAGCAGTTGGTTATCTGTCGGAAGGACTTGTCGGGAGTTAATCACCCAAGCACGGCGATTTCACTGGTGCAAAGGCCAATAAAACGCCACATGAAGTTAGCACGGCCTCGTACATATATCTTGGCGTGGAGCATTCTCCACATTATGAGAGAATCCGGAGTAATATCAAACGAGTCAACATGACAGGTGGATGAAAGGAAACTATAAAACAATATAGCCACTGGCACGCCTTCAAGCAAATTAGCCCAGGCAGTAGGCCCCAGGTTGAAGGACTTTACCGAGTAGCGTAGCCGCTCTGCGGTTTCATGCTTTCTTTTCACATATAATTTCTTTTTCTTGTGCCTGTCACATGCAATAAATTTGGCATACAGTTGTGGGATTGGAAGGAATAATATTTAGTGCGCGGACTACGAGAAGTAAGAGTGCACCATGGATTTTCTCTCTCAGCAAGACAATGCAATCTTGCTCTATGTATCGGGAACTACTATATCAAAGCCAGACCTGGATTGGATTGGATTGTTTGTTTTATTTTGGATCTGTACATGATACTATGATTCCCAAAGCGTGAAAAATGATGCTTGCGTAGTATTACCCAGGACAGGACGAGGAACTGTGCCTAGCAAGCAGATTTTGGTAGAGTTCGCAAGAGCTGCTGTCAAAACCGTAGGGCTCATTATCAACAAGGTGTCTATATATATCTGATAGCCCAATTGAAGCCGTTTGTTGGATTTCATAGATTTTATATATCATGTATACCATATCCCACCAACCTCTGCAAGGAGAGAATGAGTTGCCGGGTTTACATGCCGATAAAAGCCCAATTTACTGAGTTAGCGGGCTGTAGCTTTCGTCCGTTAATTGTTCCGAAGAAGGACCGACATTTCGTCCGTGATATAGGATTGAATTTGGGGGGGAAGCATGCGGGTGCGAGGCTATGTAGTTCAATCAATGCAGGATAGTTGTGCATCACAGATATTTACAAGAGTCTTTAAAGTCAGCAAACATATATCAGGTCAAATATTTATGCAAGGACTTCTATAGGGAAATATATGAGAAGATGTCTAAAAAAGACTCAATGAGGCCGCATAAGCCAACTACTCTTCAAAGGTCACAGATGGAGCCGTCATCACATCTGTTTGGACAACTCTAACGTGGCCTCTAATTTCAATAAACAACCAGTTCAGAGATATTGTTTGTGGTATTATGATTGGGTGTCCAAGGACCTAATTGCTAAGTGCTACATAAGGTAGTGTGTAATGCTAAAAAGACAAATGGTAAAGTACAGGGTATCGAGCGCTGATGCAAGACCGCGAGTAGAACAGCTCTGCGGATTTGAGGTATCCAACAATAAGAAAAAAAAAAAAAAACACGCCAAAAACGTAAATCACAAGAGAGTAGTCTGCACACAAGATGCAGACTTCTCCCAGTCAGCCTTCAGCTGAGCGGCTCTCGCTCCGATGTCTTTGGCAGAGACCTCTTTGCAAGACTTCAACACGACAGACTTCATATCACCAACAGTAACCATGCTAATCCAGTCACCAGCCACCTTTTTATCCGACAGAATCTCAAGACACATCTCCACCTCCTCACGGGGAAACTCGCTGCGGACCGAGTCACGGACATGCTCGACCATCACATCGAGCTTGAAGGGCTTACGTTGGGCTGCAAGCATAGCTTTGATGCCAGTACCCACATACCCAGCGGGACGCAGCAGGGCCAGAACACCAGCTACCTCTTCTACCCGATCGGCGGCTGCACGTCGCACAAGCTCTTTCTTGGGGGGCGGAGGAGGAAGCTTGGACTGGCGTAGCTCCTTATTCTTAATGCGATCCAACAGGCTTTGGCGACGGCTGATCGTTGCTGTCCGGTCCAGGGTAGTCGTCGTTGCTGACTCTGAGCGCATTCTCTCAGCCTTCAAGCGGAGTAAACCACCCTTCAGATCCTGGAGTCGTTGCTGACCTTTTTGGAAGACTGTGAAAGGGGTGAGCGACTCGTAGATAGTGGAGAGACCGAGAGAGTCGATGAACAGAGTTGCCTGGTCTTCCTCATTGGCATTCCGAAGAGCCTCTGGGGTCTTTTCCCACAGCAAGTCCATGGTTTCTTCGAAAGAATCCTGCAAAACTGGAGGCTGGACGTTGACCTGCACGGTACGCTCCATACATATTTTGCCGAGTCCATAATTTGCCAGACGATATGAAATATGGTTCGCTTTCGAACTCTGTTCCCAGACCCACACAAGACGCTGCAGGTCCTTGATCTGTACCTTGCGCTTATTCCAAAGGCGGGTCACGCTGCCAAGGAATTCTCTAAGGTCCGCAGGGGTATTTGCGCCGTTATGTGCCATGTGAATTGAGAACGCCTGCACAAAGGAGGAGTGAAGGTTCAGAATATCGTTGAAGAACGCAGGCCGCTCGATAATTGGTGTTTCCTCATGTACTGGAATAACCTTGTCGAAGTTCAGGGTTCGTTGCTTCGAAGGGGTCGCGGGTGTCGAGGGCGCGTTTTTGACAGGGGCAACCCGTCGACTCGGTGTCCGACTCGGGGTCTTCGTTGGCGAGGCTTTCTTGGGCGACACATAGTGGCCGCTGCGTGGCGAGGAAACGGATAATTCATTTAGTCGCAAAGTTTTCGAGGGCGTTCCTTCCTCCTCGATGGGCGTCTGTCTGCTACCGTTGTCGAAGTTTTCGAGTTCCTGTAGTTTGCGTTTCTTGGAAGGCGAGACCGGAAGAGACGTGATCTTCTTTGCAGGTAGTTGTGGAGTAATGCCGGCCTTGGTTGCCCGAGTGAAGGCTTGAATGGCTGGCTGGGCAACGCAGCTTGACCGGGAAGTGCGCGGCATCGCGGCTGCTGAAAATTTTTTGCCGGTCGAGGGATGATAAATGAAGAAAGGGCAATAGATAAGACTGTATTATAATAGACAAGGTAAGAGATGCCGAGGTATGGAAGCGAACAAGATGTGGGAAAGTGCAAAAAGTGGAAATTGGGAAGTGGGAGAGATGTCAGAGAAGGCACAGGGGAGAAAACGCGTTCGAGGGCGCGTGGAAAATATCGCACTAGCCGTTTTGGGTTAAATGGCAACGCGTGAGCGGGAACTATAAGAACTCCAATTTCAGTACGGAGTATGGACTAAAAGACTTTGAAAAATGGAGAGTGAAGTCTCAATATAGTCAATTCCAGGGAAATGATTTAATACCAAAGATGAAAGAGCTACAATGACATTCTCGTCACTACGGTAATAATCCGGCACTGGAATGTCAGTGTGTCCATGCTCAACGTCTGGCCATTTCTCCGAGCGCATAAGATGTCCGATGCTGCTGTATGGCCGAGAAACAATTCCAAATCGGCCTCTACTATGAAGAATGGATTGAATGAGAATACGGAGTACTCAGTTTCAGTTCGCGCCCTGGGCAGACTAGCCAATACCGGGCGCATTGAATACTTGGCGTACATGAACTCCAGCTACAATGACGTTTACAAGGAACACACATAAGTTTATAGACATGGATTTCATTGTAATATTCTCGAAACCGACCAGCGCCGTAATATACTCATAACATTAAATCGTTGAGGCTCCAAGGTAAACAGAGCTTATTTCTTGCCACCGAGCCAGCCAGAGACAGCCCCCTTGGCCTCAGCGGCCTTTTGCTCGACATCGCGATCGATCTGATCAACACTGTGGTTGACCTTCTCCCGGCTGGCATTGAACTTGTTCTTTGCTTCATTGCGGAGCTCCTCAAGCTTGTTCTTACCCTCCTGGACTTCAGCACGGGTTTTGGCGATCTAGAGTTGACTGGTTAGTATAACATGTCACATTGTCTCCAATTATGGTTGGTGGGGCGGGTATCGGGGTTATGCACGAATGCTTGGGTGAGACCAAGGATGGAGTGGACTTACAGCATCGTCGATGTTGGCGCCAGCTTCCTTGCCGACATCCTTGCCATACTTCTCGGCGTTGTCTGTGCCTGGAATCTTCTCGCGTGCCTTTTCAGCGTCGACTGGAGTAGAAGAGGAGAGTTAACATCGTGTTTTGGAATAGATCAATGGCAAAGGAATTGATCAGAGCACATACTCTTCATCTGGTGCTTTGCTGCCGAGGGACTGCCGCCCGCAGAGTAAAGGTAGTATCCGCCTGCACCCGCCGCAGCGAGGCCCAGCATCATTGGAACGCGGCTCTTCGACATGTTCTGTGGTGTTGTGGTGGGATGAGATTATGTAGATGGTGTAATTGAAGTGAATTCTGGAGATGACAGGTCGGAGTATCCCTGGTTTTATAGGTAGTTCTCGAGCCTGGGGAAACAACCTTGGAAGACAGCCGGCTATGACGTCTTGTTCCCCGTGCTTGTCCGCATGAACTACATCCTTGCCTCAACCCTTTTCCATTTTTTTTTTCAAATTGCTCTTTCACAAACGCTGTGTTACTTTTGAATTATCTATTAGCTATTTGAATATTGTCAATAGTTGTCCATTCCAATTCCCAATTACTACATGTCTACAATATTCAACAGTTCATAGGGTTGCAAGTGGAGTCCGGAAGCTAGACTGCCCGTCGACGTCACCTGCAAGTCATCGCTGCCTCATTCCGATTCTTGTTTCTTGTGTATGTAATAGCATAACTTCTAGACCTAGTTATATGTTATACATTATGCTAACACATTCTCGATCTTCTGTGGACCTGTGGACCCCTGCTTGACTTACCTAAGGCTCTACCTATTCTCAAGCTCTATATTTGCACATCTTCTACGTTGTTTTTGGATAGTATATAGGGACTTATGAATAAGAGAAAGGCTGTGTCAATGCATCCCAGTCATATTCCTCAGATCATAACATAAATGTAATCCGTTATAGCATCAGACCCAATCCACTCCCCAAAAAATTTAGTAAGACACGTAACGAAACGAGAAGGTGAGATAAGGTGTAGAGAGGGAAGGGACTCGGAGATGGAGCAATGAAGAGTCCATGGTGAAGGCAGAGAGTGAAATGCAACATTGAAGTCATACCGCGGACCACCAAAAATGAAAGAGGAACCAAATGATCGATAGACAGGGTATCGTCATGAACAGGACTCCAAACAAAACTTCCTACGCGAACGCCAGGACATGCAGCTCACTAGAAACTCATCCGAAAAAGATTGCCATCCAAAACCGTGCAAAAGAAATATCATCAAAACAAGCATAAGACTCCCGAACACAAGTAAAAGAAAGATGGCCTATGTTTCCCGGTCATGTATCAGTCATCAAAGTCGTCAGTTCATCAAGGGCTTCACTGTCATGAGATGGCAAGTATGAGAATCCCCGAAATATATAAAGAGAAGTAGGAAATAATTGAAAAAGCCGAGAAAAGCCAATGGGACGAATATTGGAAGTAGAGTGGGCGGAAAGAATGGTTGATTGTGGTTGATGTGGCTGGGTGTGTGAAATAGACGGGGGTGGAATGTCAAGTATATGATAATCGCTCTCCAGCTAGTTGCAGGAAGCAAATATGACTTTCACATGTAGAATGGTGTAGAATGGCGTGAAATGGGTTTGTCCAAACAATTTACAAAAACAACTTGGCTGCTCCTTTGTTCTCGCTTGTGGCGACGGCGACAAGAGCCTCCAGGCGACCCATGCCCGAAGTTTGGGCAGAAGTGTCTGCGAAGACGCCGGACCTGGGCTCCCGGTCGTTGTGGGCTTCGTAGCCGTTCGCGTGGGAGGATTGACGGCCACAGATCTGTGACGGGATTAGCAACCGGGGCGATAGCCGTTCGTTTGAACAGGAATTCCTACCGGTGGAGGGTGATCGGAGGAGTCATTAGATTCGATATATCCGCTGCTGTGCACAATTGCGGGATGATAATCAAGCGATGCGGTAGATGGGGTATGAACACCTTCGCTACTACTAGAATCCTCGGGGGAAGTTCTCGTGCGACTCCCCGTTGAAAGGCTTGGGCGATGTCCCCGGTACTCCTCAGGACTTCTTTCGGCCGTTGGGCCGAATGTAGGCTGGTAAGATGACGATGGACGGGAAGAAACATTTTGGAGTTCTGCAAGTGTTTGTTGACTCCACTGAGAAGCAGATGCAGTGGAAGGACGTCGGTCTCGGATATCCAGTCCGGTAAGGTTATGATGCAAAGACATATCCCAAGATACATGGCCTCGTCGGTGACCAGGGCCGGAGATGGGGGGTGGTGGACGGTGAGCTGGCTGTGTGTAATTGAATCCCGATCCAAAGCCTGCGTTAGGTGGTGGGCGATGATGGCCATCAAGCTGCATTGGGCTGGCTTTCCGAGTGGGAGGAGTCATGGGCCGCTGGACTACTTTGTCGAAACTCTCAATCCCGGGGAGCCGGGGCGGATGCTCGGTCGAATCATTCGTGCCAAATGAAGGCGGGACATTGTCGGGTGTGTGATATTGGTTCAGGGCACTGGTTCCAGGACGTGGAAACCCTGTGTATGAAGAAGGGTGCCATGTTCTCCTCCGCATCTCCGCCTCAGCCGCGCTCAAGGTACCCTCATCACGAGATCCAGAGTAATGTGTGCTGGTGGGGCTTGCGAATACACCAGCAGCATTTGGATAAGGTGCACCGGCGGGGGTGTGATATGCCGGAGGATATGTGTTGCCATGCTGTGCGAGGAAAGGGTTGCTGCTCGTTGGCACTGAAAGACGACGGGCAGCCGTCTTTCCTTCCCAGAAACCATGGGTCGTACCAGCCATGGGCGAGGCATATTGGGGGCTTCCACCAGTAGCAGCAAACATATTGGAGGTGTATGGCGATCCAGCTGTCGAGGGGCCAGGAGCCCCACGGATCTGGGCTGGGGGTGTGCTCGGAGGTTCTCCCATGGAATCCATTGCCAGTCGGGATCGAGCTGCGGGGTCGTTGGCCATGATTAAAGGAGGGGGTCGTCGTCGAAGTTCTGGAGGTTGGCTGTATGTTGAAGTGGTGGACGCAACACTCGAGGTTGACAAGTTCCTGCTATGGGCTCGGGTATGACCACCAAGACTGCCTCCGGTGCCTGCCCGCGCCCGGCCTGGGGGCCGCACTCGATCTGTACGGACCTGACGCTGGAACCGTGTGCCCGTGGCCGCCAGTGAATCCCCGGGAATTTCCTCATTGACGTGGACTGTTTGAGCATGCTGGCGGAGATTGTCGAGTCGGGAAAACCGGCGAGAGCAGTGGCACTGGAAGGGACGTTCGCCGGTGTGTTTTCGAATATGGCGAGCCAGATGTTCGCTCCGTGTGAAACTCAGATTGCAAGGAGGGAAAGAGGTGCAGAAGAACCGTTGACCTTTTTTCTTTTTCGATGGTGGAGCGGTACCCCCCTGGGTTTTATCATGGTCGGAATCGTCTTGTTCTCCATCGGAACCGTGCATTTGTTCGTCAGACGTTGACGGGGTTCGACCGTGGGTTAAGGTTGTGCGGGATGAAGCGTCGCTACCGCGGCTGTGGTGTGAGGCTCCGTCTGGAAACTGCTCCGTCGAAGAAACGTCCGTGGCTGGCACGCCATTTGTGGTCGCACGAGGTGTAGCTGCTCCATCCATCGCGTGATCTTCAGGGGCCGAATTGTTGACAGGAAGAAAGGAAGCCATGACGACGTAAGAGGGAGGGAGGCGGGAGTGATGTCAGGTCCTCGGGGAGCAAATGTTCCTGACCACCAGTGGTCGCAAAGCCGACAATCCGATCGGAATAATCACCCCAGGACCAGTCGGAGTTCTATATGTCTTTATGTCGAGTCGTCAAAACCGCCGTACTACGGAGAGGTCGGAGATCAAGACGCGGAGTCTGGACCGGGTTGACTGTGAACATTTGCGCAAACTCAGTAACCTGGACACTACTAGAGTGGGCGAGACGAAGGGAAAAGAAGGGAGAGAAGAGACCAACGGAGAGTCGGGAGGTTCACGTACGATTTGAAAGTGCGCTTACTCTGAAGAGAAAGAGAAAGGAGGGGCGAAAATAGAATGTGTACTAGGATTCTCAAACGCAAGGGTGGGGAGAAGTCAAGAATGTAAGAAAAGAAAAGGGAAGGTTACTTGATCGCGATCATCTCCAGGGTAAAAAAAAGGAAACCAAAAAAAAAGAATAGATATCCGACCAGCCGGAAAGAAGAAAAAGATCAATAGTCAGAAAAGAAAAGGGTGTATATAGGCAGTATATACGAAGTACGGGGAGTATAGAAAATATAAAAAGGAAATGGTGACGATGAGAAGAGGCTTATCGGAAGCGAGGGGCAAACAGGGACTCAACAGGAACTCAAAGACCTTCCGGGGCTACCGATGCGAATCATTAAGTGTTTCACCAGATATCCGCGTGTCTCCTTTAAAAGGCACCAGGCACCTCCATGATTCATTAGTGAACTTGATCTTTACTGGAATTCGAAATCCAAGTCTAGACCTAGATCGATATACACTACGATATACTTAATATATCAGGGGTTTAACCTTCCAAAAGACCTTGGAGGGGGTTGACGTTAACACATCTTTCCCAAGAACCTGGAAATAGACAGTGCCAAGTCTTGATAAGTTTGGGTAGAAAAAAGGTCGAGACTCTTTTGGTGGAGTTCTTAGGGTTAACCTCGATATACCTTCAGACCCCTACTAAAAATCAACCCCCTTGCATTCGCGTGGATGTATCGCACCTCGTCATACTCCGTACTCTAATGGTTACGCAGGGAAAGAGTTCCGAATGGTCCCGAAGTCTTCATCTTTTGCTCGAGCCCTCTGGAGAATACAGGATTGGTCCGAGCCCATGATAATTTTAGATGATAGAGCTGGGGTGATAAGAGACCTTAGTGCCATATCAATTTGACAATATACCTTTGAGAAAGATACATTCTAGAATACATGAATGATCTCTGATTGGATCTTCCACATGTACCGTTATACAGTACTCTGTACTCCAAGACCAAAAGAACTCGTCACCTGGCCGATCCGACAGCTCCGTTTATACCGCATTCAGGCAACTCTTTTGAAACTTTCATCGCCCCCTGGGACTAAGCCCGTCCATATCGTGCCTGCGTCCCCTAAGATTTCCCCCCACTTGCCTCGAGATGTCTGCAAACGGTAACTTCCCTACAAACGATCTCGGACCCTTGGTTCTCATATACTTTAATGTACTCTATTTGACTTGAGGTCAAATACCTCATCAAATCTGACGCCACGATGTGGATGATGTGCTTATTCCCTTGAGTTTGATCTATATTATATCAATCCAAAACCATGTTTCGCATTGGCCCCAGATCGGCCCCTCCCCATGGAGACCTGGAGTTCGGTTATGATCCAGCAGACACGATTGGTGGGGAGGTAAGAGGCGATACACATTACTCTTTCTGGAGACATGGTTCCCCTCCTTGAGTGCCGCATATTAATCTACATTACGTATATATAGTTTATGATTCAAGGATGTGGATTGGTGTTATAGGTGAAATCAGTGGAAGATGGGGCTCCTGCCGCTACTTTAAATGATCGACGTTTGAGTTGACGTCCACGGGAAAAATCCCATACGGAATACTCCGTACGGAGAAATACAAGCCCATGTATGTGGGGGGGCTCACCGAAGGGCATCGCCAACAGATCGTAGAAGAGGGGAAAATCCCAATCCCCGGGTACCTGTAGATACATCTGCAGGACGCCACTAAGGCTGGCAGGGAGGGGCACGGTCAAGTAGACCCAGGTACCGAGCTGCAGGGCTTATCGATAAACCTCAATTCATAGCCAGGTATGCCAACATCTCGACATGATCTACATGTTCCTTCCACACCTTCCCATCGACGTTTCCTTTATTGGGTACTCCGCACACTCTCACCCGTTTTTTTCGCCCCTTGGACAGTTGATCCGTTTGCCTTTTTAGCGGTCTGCTTATCTGACTGGTCACTGATCATGTCCAGGTGCCGATTATTTACTGATCTGTCCAATCACAGTCCATGCTCTGCATCTCATACCAGGTCCATCCATGTAAATTGTACCTGATTATGTGTCGGGGTGCGTACCTGAGGGGGGGTTGCCACGTAGGAGTCGCCTTATGATGTGACCATATGAATTAATAAAATAATACTGTCTTAATACTATGTTGTATATTAATACTATATTAATAGATTATGGATAGTCTTGATTGTCTCGTATTATCTAGTATCTAGTGCGAGAGAATACATGTACCAACACATCCATCAATAAACCTTACCCCCTCAGACATCAAACTCATACACAGACACTGAGTACGAACAAAAAAAGTACTAGGAGGCTGAGAGTCCAATTCACATGTGAATTCCAGACCGGACGAAACGGACAAAGCGCACTACCTCTGCATTCTCTAATCCATACCCATGCCTTTCCCCAAATCTAATTGGACCCCTCCCTAACAGCTAACATGCATCCACCCCCCTCTACATCCAGGGCATTGAGTCAATATGCAGTGTGCACACCAGCTCCCAGCCATTTCCATAACTGCCTAGAGATCCCTAGCACCGTGGTGCACCCTGTGAGAGTCATCTGACTCCTCTGAAATACCCACCGCGTTCAGGTACTTGTACAACATACTTGCAGATATAGATCTACCCGCTTATCCGCGGCACATCCTGAGGTGTACCTATAGTGTATTGTTGTATACATTTATACATCGAGGTTATTTCCCGATGTTCGGAGGTTTTTGTGGATTCTGTGCGAGCTGACGGGTTTGGCCCCGACACCCTGTTGTGGTGAGGGTCCCAGGGTACCGACTGGTTTCTTTGTTCCTAGTCAGGTACGCTAGTCGATCGCGCCTTGGCTTTGGGCGTGGCTGGTTGCTGGTACCTGGGACTTCTGGCTCTATGTTGTAGGGTGTAGTGTTAATTGCTTCCAATGATCTGTTGCCCATGGTGCAACAACATGGTTCGGATATTTATAGTAGTGGTAAACACCGACAGCTGATAGGATATTACGGAATATTCGGTACTATTACAAGGTGAGACACGGAGCACATAAGGGTGCTCACTGTCAATAACCAGATGTCCAGAATGTTCAATCTTACAAATAATCACGAATTCGGTTTGTAGCAACTGTTGCTAGCGGGGAAGCGGAACTTTGGAACACGATGTGGACCCTTTGTTTAAATATGATAGAGCATATATCTGCAAGAAATGAGATAGTTCTGTCAGCAGAGAGGAACAGTCTTATTTCCTACAGCCATATATGTTTTGTAGACCCACATTGTAACGTCGGAGGCTCAAATATGGAAAGAAGCCCATATTTATGGTTGATTTTTCCTAAGGAAGCAATCACAATCAACAATATGGAGTAAGAAGCTAAATAATATGGGCCGGATTGAAATACCGAGGCGCTGATACAGTATGATAGTAATTTACATATAAAAGAAAGCAAAAGTACTATCAGACTATAGTCAGCTCCCCAACCTCAACCTTGGCTCTGTGCTCAAGGCTTCCTTTCAAGGTTATTACCCTCTTATGGAGGACCTTCTTGTCCTCCTTCAGATCAGAGTGCAAGTCCTCCAGTTTCTTGATTCGAGAACGATCGCCCTGCCGAGCATTTCCTCGGTCATCCCCAACTTCAGAGAACAGAGGTCGTTTTCAAGTCTTCCAACCCTCTCTTCGAGAGACTCTTTGTCTGGTACTTCCCAGTAACAGTTGATACCTCTGCGAATTGCCTTGTGCGGCAGCTTTGCGAGGGTTACTGAGACAGCATGGATGAGCGCGAGGAAAGTCAAGAGACTCATCAACATGGTCACGTTACTAATGCTCCATGGGCCTTTTTGCTCATCGTGGCCAGCTGGATAGCAAGGTGGGCACATCATGGAAGGTCATGGAATAAGTATGTGTAAACCAGTGCTCATGGCTAGTGACGGAAGCTATACGCTGACATGGGACTGATGTCACTGACGTCCACCGCTACCTAGCTACGGAGACCGGCTCTCCCTGAGTCTCAGTAGATTCAACTCTGCAAATTCATTTCGGAGGCAAGATGGCCATGGATAATGTAGACTCAGCCGGTCGTGGCTTCCTAGGCGACCTTGCACCTTCCGTTCTCCCAGTCTACCAATATCGGGACCGAGAGCAGTTACTCAACACAATCAAGCAACTAGTCGCGACAGCAAGCAAGGCCACTACCACTGAATGGTGTCTTATCGAACGCGTTAACAATTCAATATTCACAAGTGCATTTCTTCTGGCAAAAGAGGGTCCATTTGCTTCCTGGTCCTCATACGACGCCCAGTCAGAACGTGTGCTATTGAGAATGACAAAGTCTCAAGCCCATGAAGTCGCTTCGGAAACCTTCCATGTCCTACTTCACGATGCAATCAAACCTATGGGGATGGATCGCTCCCTTCGCCCAACCGGGAGTGCTACCCATCAGGCTGCAATAGGGGCTAAAGAAGCCGACGAGGCGTGGCAACCACTCAGACTCCCACGCGGCCGATCAAAGGACTGGCCCAGTGTCGTACTGGAAGTTGCTTTCTCAGAGAGCAGGGACAAGCTGCAGTCGGATATAAGATACTGGTTCCGAGCTTCAGGGGGTGATGTGAAGGTGGTAATCATCCTCCAAATCAATCAACACTCCCCTCAAATCACCATCGAGAATTGGGGAATTCAGGGCAACAAATCTGTCAACCGCCTTCATCAAACAGTTCAGATCTCAAAAAAGGGCAGTAAGATCACAACCACGGGGTCACCTCTGGTTATCGAGTTCGAAAAGCTCTTCCTGAGACCCCCCATCGAACCGAGAGAACGAAATATTCAGATCGACGACGGGGAACTGGAGTTTTTGGCAGAGAATGTTTGGGGCTGCCAGGAGATGTGATAAAAAAGGCTGTTTTTCAAACTCGTCAATTGTGATAACAGGGAGGTGACATTTCATAAGGTGGAAAGAAGGGTCTGTGTCCTTAGCTGTGTGGGATCATGTTTCTTGTTTCTTAGTGCCCTACAGTTTGGCAGCATTAATACTCTCATCCATTATGCCTGACATGGCTATGACCCTACCCACAAGTCTGATACCCTAGAAAGTGCGGGCGAAGAGAGAGAGATATATTGTTACGCACTGCAAACTGGTCATAAGTAGGTTAGATGGGATCTGGGTATACCTGCCTTATGCTCCTCGGGTTCCAATGTCAACGATCTGTCTCTAAAATATCATGGGTGTGTCCCTGCCGTGAAAATAAATCTCCAAGAGAGGGAGCAATTACTACACTGAACACTTTATCTGTGGAATCTTCATCGCAAAGAGCACCAAGAAGGCTAAAATTCAGATTCCCTCATCGGCGGCGTTACAGGGGAGACAAGCCAAGACCTAAGCGGACAAGCACGTGAACAGTGAGTTTTATCTTGTGAATCAAGATAATTGCAACAGTTTTAACCCCCTATTAGCTCCACCATTCCTAGGCAAAGATCCCAACAGAGATCTTTCAACCTTGGTTGCCAGGTTTCAACGTCGATAAACGATCTTTTGACCTTGTATGCCTCAACCTTGAACCACGCTGGTTCCTCAACTCCTTTTGTCTCATATGCTGTCTCTTTTTCTTCATGCTCCTCTGTTCAGACTTCTGACAAGATCTCTGAGCCACAAGAAAGCTGGGATATGTTCGAGGTGATCATGGATTTACCCTTCAGAAAGTCTAGCAGCTTGGTCTCAATCTTCTGTGTACAGTGGATGATTGGAATTCCTTCCTTGAGCAACTTGAAAGCCTTCCAAGGTTGGTGCATGCCCAACGAGACATGTCTCCGATCTGAGTGTTATCATTGACTGATGTTCCATTCTACACACACTACATTTCTCTGGATACAACCGTTCTCAGCCATTGAACATTTGTCTATCCGACCAGTGCCAGCCATTTGAACAGTAAACCTACAACGATGGAGTGTGGGATCAAGCACGAATCAAATCTGGCGTGTCGAACAATATCTCCTGCTTCGAAGAACCGAAAATTTGTCGATGGACAATCCTTTTCGTCGCCATGTCTTTCATCGAAGACTTTCCCATCATGACCAACGGCAGCAAGGCGATCCTCCAGGCGATATTCTCTGATACCAACTACATCGTCATCGACCATCTGGCTTTTCCACATAAGAGCATCAACATCGAGACCTTGCTGATGATTCTGCCTCATGTTAGGGAGCGCATCTCACATTGGCACTTGTGCTAGTCTCAGTGTCCAAGGCGCTGTTTCATTGGCGATTAGTCAAACAGTAATGCTGTTAATCAAACTCGCCATACCATTGGTGATCCTCTTGGATTGACATGGTACAGAATATGAACTCGAATGTATCACGTTGGATAACTCTCATATGTGAGAGAACTTTGTCCTGAGCAGACTTGGAATCGCTGTCCAAGTTGTCTTATATTCTTCCGCCCAGATTTAAATCTGACCCCCAGGACCTTTGAACATACACCGTGCAATTTGATGCTGTCGCCGTGATGGCTTCTCCGACATCTTATATCGTTCCCCAGAAGTATACGAACACGGCACTCTGGTATCTCCCTTATGCCAATACTGAAATTGCAACGGAAGAGGCCTACTTTCCAGGGATTCCATTGAAAACGATTTCATCACAAGGACGATGGCGGGAGTCAATTGTGACAGCAGGCGGAGTTTCTCCTTGATTCTCCAGGCCTGTGAGTTGGTGGCATCAGTCGTTCTCTCATCATTCGTCCCTGCTGGCGACTGAGAAACGACAAGAAGAGTCAGACTGCGTATCATACCGTGTCTAGCGGCAATTTAATCCCCATCAGACCGTCTCTGGGAAGCTTGTTCGACGGAGTACGGCAAGGTGGATTCCCGTGCGTCACGATCACAACCGGGCGAGTAAGTTCCATGGATTTTACTTGGTGGACTTTTCCAACATATACTTGTACAGATTATTCGCCTCAGAAGCGCTGCCTTGCATGATCTGGGCCAATGTCAAAAAAAGGCAAGGTGGTCTATATAGCCACTCGAATCCGTGACCGCGACTTCGACTTCCAAGACAGACTGCTCCTGAGTCCTGGATTGTTGCACGAGGGCTCAATTCCGGGCTTATATATTATATCCCCAAATAGACAGAGATCAGGCTTCAATCGCGACGGGAAATGCTCCTTCTAATCTCAATCATTTCCGGAATATACAAATCCAAGAGGCACCCTGACGTGACCAAAAACAGGGCTCCTTTTTCAAATGGCGGACGCCTGGTTGTTCAAGTCCCCCAAATGATGCCAGCCCTTATCAATTCTGCTTTTGAAAGGATGCTATCCTGGTTTCTCTGAAGTTTGCTCTCGGTGATTGGCAACGAGACCTACAGTACCAGGTCCGCTTCCCCATGGCTTGTCGTGCTTAGGCGGCAATTAGAACTGACCGGAATAACGGGAGTTCTAGGTCTAATGTGTGCTGATGCAAAGCAAACCAAAAACCCCTTTTTATCCAGGAAATCGCTAAAAAGAGGAATCTGCCATCATTCACTCCGAAGGGGATATAAGTATCCAATGCTCTCTATTGCATTTAACGCCACATTTGGCAAATTGTTGGCCGCCTTTTTTTGCCCAGACTAATTTGAGGCTGTTGGAGTGATGGCCCCATTATCACTCTTTCATGTCGCTCTGAAGCGCATGATCGTGTGACATGATGTTGTGACGAGATGGCTGTGTCGGACCGGAGACAAGATATGGTACATTGGTTATGTGGCACTTCTTATGGTCCCTAGAAGTCAGTGGGATCCAGTTGTCGAATCCGATGATGCACATTGTCTCATGAACGCTTACTGCAAAGCAAATCGCGAAATTCTTCTTGATGGAGGAATCGTTGAAAAAGAAAAGCTTCTGTCAGTATCCCTCATAAGAAGAAGCTAGTATTTGATATTCTCTTTTTGAGATCAAAAGGGAAAAATGTCTTTTCATCTTTTGATCTGGACCTGGATACCTCCCGGCTCCAGGCACCCGTACTAGCACTACCAGAAAAAGACAAAGCTTATTGCAAAGGCCCCAGTCAATCGAAGCACGAAACAGGAGGGTTTTAGTGAAGCCGTGGAGGAGTCTTGTTCCCGTCTTCGGCCCCATGGTGTGCTGAGCTGTTTCAAGCAAGTCGCTCAAAAGCGTCGATATATTTTGACAAAAACAGACAGGTAATCATTTCAGGTGTGGAGTAAATCAAGTTTGCAGCAGACTTGGCCGAAAGGATCCGGATGGCAGCATCTTGATGATGCTCTACCGCTTGAACTTCTCAAACTTTGGATCCAGATGCTTCTGATGTCCCATCCACCTTCGGTCAGGCTTTCACTCATCATCGGTTTACCTGAATCTCTTGTCCTGATTGGCCGTGTTTGCTCAGGTATGAAGCCCTGATCTAAAGTGAATGCTCGCTTCACCGGGAAATATGGACGCTGTCCGGGTAAATATGATTGTTTCATATTGTCGCCAAAAAGAATAACCCGACAGCACGATGTGATATTCCTTGATACAGGCCTTCTCTGGCTCAAGCATGTATGATGGCTTGAGAACCACATATAGAACTCCGAAGGTTCGCAGTCTTCCAAATTCATTTCCGAACATGACGAGCTTCAAACTACCTGTGTAATCGAGCACCGCCAACCTGAGTGGTGGAATTCGCAAAGAACTACCAACTTGCCTCCTGCAGGTCAGGTGTTAGCTCTTTGCTCGCCTACTCAGTTGGTGATCAGATCGAGGAGCCTTCTGAAACGACAATGAGTGATGATAGGACACTCATGTGGCCTGGTTCTGCGACTGAGATAAAATCTTGGAAGATACGGAATGACTCAAGTCTCAAATCCAGTGATACCTCTTCTCGATGGTGGTTGGTTGGCTTCCAATCGAGCTCAACTTTTGCTTGGAGCATGATATATTCTATGGAACGACTCACTCGGAAAGTGTTTCCCTACATGTTGTTCCTTTGGGCCTTTGGTGCTCTTGGTTTGCTGTTAGCTTGTGATGTTGTCGAGGTACACAATCTCCTTCAAATATCCCATGAATGGCGTTTTCTCCGCATATTTCCATTCTGGCGTAAGTGGAACCAGAAGAAGTATTCGATTGCACCGAGGAGAATGGGGTCACAAATATTCATTCAATGCTCAGCACTTCTATTGCAGCGAACAGAGATCAGCGCGGGCCTCCGCATTGCGATCAATAAGCTAAGTTTCAAAGATTTTTGTACAATATCGTGGAGGAAAAGAAATCTCGACCAAATACCGCCTGCATGGTGGATGGACAAGCTGGGAACCGGATATCATCAGGGCTATGAGGAGTTCGATAATATGGTTCCGAGGTACATGATCCAAATGGCCCCTATCGTCTAGCGAAAGAAAAGCAATGTGATTTGAAATCTCTTGTTGAGATACGAAATGTCCGAGGTCGCGAAGGAAAAGAACTGGTGATAAACCAACTCGGGAAAAAGTATCTTTGCCTAGGAGGGAAAATGCTACAAAGCTGGGGATACGCATGGGCATAGTGGCCAGTGTTACTTTCGGCGCTTATGCCTGCAATAGTGCTTTAATGCCCTGATTTGGCATGGCAGGAAGTTAAGATATCTAAATGAATATTATATATACCTTGATAATTAAAAGTTACTTGATCTAGCTGGTATATATAAGTGTCAAAACTGAAGCTTTTGATCTCTATACAAATGGAGATGTCGCTATCTTCTTAGACAATTTCTAAATGTCAATTATTTTTGACCCCTATAAACCGCTAGAGAATGTAGAAATATCTCTATCTATACAGAAATCAAAAGCTTCAATAAATTTACAAGCTAACTGGAGTGGTGTAGAAAGGGGTACTGCTTCGGGCATTTTGATGTTAAAGCCCCCCTAAAGATAGCCTCCAGGGGTGCTTAGCCGCCCACGACTGAGAGCCAACAGCCGGCGTACTAGTAGTTATTCCGTGCTGAAGGGTTTACAATACATTGTATCCTAGGACTTAGAAGCGGTCAAGATTAAGGCCAATACAGGCCAAATAAAGGCACCAAGGCCTTAATGCACTGCATTGAAGCCGAAAGTAACCCTGGCCACCATGCCCCTGCGTACTACTGGAGAGATGAAGTGATTTTGCAACAATTTCTCTCTGGACAGAGAGTCCCCGTTTTTTTATAGCTCACATAGCCCAAATGATTTCCCTTTTACTGTCCTGCCAACTCCTTGTAGCCTATCCCTACATAGGTCGATAGATGATGCCATACAATTATATTTCTCATTAGAGCTGAAGTCAGTCCTTGCGACTGACCTCTTCTATTTCGGACTTAATTTAGAATCTACCTTGTAGAGACTCAAGAACATTTACAACACGCTTGAGTTAGCCACAGTATCACCGTCCCAGAGGACCAACGACTGAGCTCACCATCACGGCAGCTTCTCGTTCCCAGTTTCCAACCACCACCATGTCGGGCCCTGGCCGACCCTTCTCGGCCAGCAGGCTGGAAGCAGACACTTGCGATGCACGAAGCACACACTCTTTGATCTCGGTTCTTAGTCGATCACGGTTGGATCGCAATGTACGGACCGAGACACCGCCTCGGTTGGCGATTTCCTGGACTCGCGGGGCGAGAGACGAGGCGAAGGAGCGCCAGTAGTAGGAAGGAAGTGATGTGGTGTCTAAAGCCTGGAGAAGTGGCTGAAGGAGATTAGATTTGTTTGAGGTTGCTGTTTGGGCTTCGGCGGCCGGTTCGTCGATTGTGGTGGACGCCAAGAGAGGGTGTAAGGGTGGGCGGAGATTTCTGAGAATGCTCTCCAGGGCGACTATATCTTGGCATCGTGCGGATATGTCGGTGAGGGTTCGGTCCATGGTTGGGAGTTGGGTAAGAGCCCGGGCGAGGGAATTTACAGATGTCATGATCGCTGTGTGCATGAACCCTTGTAATGTTGACAACAAGAGTTCAGGCTTGTAGTCGGCTGCAGTGATTGTGCCCTTTGGTGGAGGCGAAAGAAGATAGAGAGTTGTGGCGGCGGTTGCTAGTCGTGCTCGGGCATCGCGAGCTTGCTTATAGCCAGATGGAATGGATGACTGGCTATTGGAGCTTGTCGAGTTCGAGAATAGAGAGAATCTATTGATGGTCTGTTGCGCTCTTGACTTGATCATGTTCTCTGCGGGAATGACAAATTCCACGCGGAGAGTACGAGTGACCTTGACCCGATCCAATCCATAGCCCTCCTCGCCCTGTGTCGTGGCCGAGAACATTTCTCGCAGGTACAAAATTGTGTAAGCTGCTCGCTCCAGTGCACGGAAGCCATCTTTTCCAGTTGACAGTGATGCTGATCCATCCGGTCCTGCGGGGAGGGCTGGCCCTGTTGCACCTCGACCTGTAATTTCGGACACCTGACTTTCCAGCTGTCGGCCCAGGGTTAGACAGCGTGCGACGGCCCTTGCTAGGCGGACAGTTTCAAGCGAGTTTTCAGCAGCAATACGGGCTTCGTCGGCTGCTTCCCATTTCTGTACAACCTCCTTTTGGAGGCGCTCGTACCCTTGAGTCACAGAAGCTATCTGCGTCCCTGATTCTTTCAAGATATTATCAGCAGCAGCAGTTTGGCTTTGGGTGTGTGAAAGCAATGGGAGTGCTGATTTAGTTGTCAATGCATGGATGTGTGTGTCGATCTCCTGAAGATCAAAGAGTACCCGTGACAATGGTGTTGATAAATCCAACGGGGTATCTGTTGCGTTGTTTGTGCTTGTCACCAATGTATTGGCGAATAAAGCTGGTGAGAAGTCTGGGTCTAGGAAGGCCTCATAGTCTATGTATGACGGATCTCCTTCCGCCATGATGGGTCTAGGCGTGACCAAACGTGTCCAATATTAATTCCAATGGAGCCACATAGAAGAAAAGAGCAAAGTGATTAGAGAACACCTGTGAGCCAGCCAATCAGGGGCATGTGGAGTCCAGAAGCAATCTTCTTCTTCGGCTCAATGTTTTGACATCAGACTATGTAGGTCATTGGAGGAGAGAGGGATATTGGCCATGAGATAGGAAGCCCACATGGCTGATAACAGAGGGGTCACGTGGTAATGCTTAGTCACCTTATACATTGTGAATAGATATGGAACACAGGCAATGAGGCCATTCATGACTATGGATAATATGAATTTTAGAATAAAAGCAGATAAAGGTACGACATTCAATCCAGCTCATAGTACAATACATATAATACGGTCGTGCGGGCATATTAAAAAAGTGGAGGCAAAGAACCACGGAGACATTGACCAATGTTATCCTATCACGAGAGAGTCACCGATATCATGATATATAGAGCCAATGAATATGTTTTTATTCCGTATATCAAATACCAAATGCGTCGATATACTCTCTACTCTACTGCCAGCGCCTTCCAACGACAGAGCGGGGTCCACAGATAAGAGTTCGGAGGTAAGCCCGAGCATGAACATGAACTCTCTTTAACAGCATAATTCCTGTAAAAGACAGTGCTCCAAAGACAATCATCCACCATGTCAACATCTACAGCAACGCAAGAGCAAACCGTTCGCGTGATCAACGAAGACCAGCTGCCTCCACTACCACCAGCGGCAAACGATGCATGCTTCCAGGGCCTTGCTCGTGGAGGCCGGAATGGCACCCTGAAACTCCGTGGCATTCCAACATTTTCAGACCTGGCTGAGAAGCGCAAGTGGATGAAGGAGCATATGGCTGCTGCATTCCGGTTTTTTGGTAAGCTAGGGTATGGGGAGGGTGTCTCCGGGCATATTTCGATGCGAGGTAAGTGTGTCGTTCCCTTTTAAATAAATTGTACATTATAGATGAGCAATAGTATTCTAACAGCCCACAGACCCAATCCTCAAAGATCATTTCTGGATGAACCCATTTGCCAAACATTTCTCTACTATCAAGGCATCGGATCTCGTTCTTCTGGATGCTGATGGATTCGTCGTTGAGGGTGGAGCTCAGCTGCCTGTTAACGAAGCTGGGTTCTTGATTCATTCAGAGATCCACAAAGCACGCCCGGATGTTGTGGCTGCGGCACACACGCATGGTATTCATGGAAAGACGTGGAGTTCATTTGGAAAGCCAATCGAGATGCTTACACAAGGTGAGTGGCTTTTCTTCTCCTCTCAAGTTGAACATTGAGTATTTGAATTTGGGTTAATGAGCTGGATAAAGACGCGTGCAGTTTCTTTGGCAGAGTGGGTGTTTACGAAGACCATGGCGGCATTGTCCTGTCGGCAGATGAGGGAAAGGCAATTGCAAAGGCACTGGGCAAGGAAAACATTGCATGTATCTTGCAAAACCATGGGTAAGTCCATGATCGACGTTTTGTCTTCTATATGCGTCAGGTTCTATCTGGCTAATCTCGTGTTACTCATGTACAGCCTCCTAACTGTCGGTCGAACTGTTGACGAAGCAGCGATCCTCTACTCCATGCTGGAGCACGCTTGTCAGTCACAGCTTCTTGCTGAAGCAGCAGCAGCCAATGGTCTTCCAAAGAAGATCATTAGTGATGATGTGGCCAAGTTCACCGCCGATGCTGCTCAAAATCCTGTAAGTGGAATGTCGTGTATGCCAAAGTGCTTGAAAATATGTATGCTGATAGCTTTAGCACAATTTCTATACCGAGTTCCAACCCGAATTTGAGTTACTTGTCGAAGAGACAAATGGAAGGTTCCTCCAGTAAATTTCAACAATATATGTCATGTTCTGCTTCGGTTCAAAGCTCCTTTGATGTGTAGCCTATGCATTCCATACTGTCTAGAACGACACTAAACACCCACCCCGGAAAGTGATATTGAAAATCACTTTTTACTTAGCAAGGCATAAAGGGGATGGGTTTAAAGGGCAGCACATTACTATCTTCCCCATGGCTGACTGGAGACGCTTTCAATTAATTATTTGAGCTTCGTTAGAATAAATTTTAACTCCAGATTCAGGAGACATGATATTCCCTTTCAAGAAGTAGAGGTTGTACATGTGGTTTTTCATATAGCTCATCAGATAGTCTGACTGAGACGGTATTAATGTAAGCAGGTATGGGACAAATAAATATGGAAACAATTCCTTCAGAACAAACGCCATCTATACAGATGCAACTGCCGCAAGGGTATACAAAATGGAAAGCATGCATCAAACAGTCCATGGTAGACCGAGGCGTCGGAAGAACAAAAGGGTGTAACAAGGTAACAACAGGTGGTTCATAGCCCCAACAGGGACATCAACGATGGGGCGAGGGGGTGAGCGGGCACGGGTTCATACAGCATGCTCGCCCGTGTGCTTCAAATCATCCAATTCATATTCTTGCAAGCTGCGGTCTCGACCACGGCCACGGCCAAAGCTCGACTCCTGTTGGCCATCCCCGTCAGATGCTTGTGACGACGGGCCAGCTTGAGTGCTACCACTGTGTCCACCGAACTTGATGGGCTCCAACTCCCGCCTTTGACATGCCCACATTCCAAGAAAGGTCATCATAGCGGCACTGGCGAATTGAAGTCCCCACCAGAGCAAGTTCGAAGGGAGGGAGTGGGAGTATAGAGTAGTGGCGATGAGGTGGAGGAAGTGAATCGTCAGGGCGAAATCCGGAACCAATTTTGAGCGGGAAACGAAGATAAGTAGAAATATGACGCTGATATCTCCCAAGAGGAGATCATAGTTAGCTGCTGGTCGAAGTACTGCTTATAATGTCGAACCAGTGGACAACTCACCTAACAAAGCAATTCAACAACCACACCAGCCCCAGCATCCATCCAATGGTCGTATCGCCACGTAGGGAGTCCCATCCAAAGACTAGATCTAGCGAGAATGGTGCGCCATAGACAACCGTCGTGAACAAGATGAGCACCGTGGCGCAGACATAGTATGCAAGCTGCAGCAAGAGAATCTTGCGGACGATCTTCAGCGGAGGGAGTTCGGTGCGCGACCCCGCTGGTGGACGCCGGCGCGCGGGCATCAACTAAAAAGACAAGGGAGGTTCTTGTCACCCTCGTGAAATTCGTTCAAGGTCGAGGTGTCGAGGCGAGGATAAGAATGTGGGGGCGAAGGGAAGGAAACATGCAACACTATTGGGAAGGCGTTCCAAGTCAAACCCAGAGAAAAGGAAGTATGCAGTGTCAGAAGCTTCAATACTACATGTAAATTCCAGAGCGTAGTGTGTCGAAAGTGAAAAAGGGTTCGGAGATGGCGATCGTCTGCCTGGGATCAACGGCCTTGGCGGTCACAGGCCTGACCCGCCAACAACTGGACATCTACCGTCACCGACACCTTTGGCTGCATAACTCGCTACAAACCACACGATACCCTACTTATTCGGACCCAACGAAGCAATATCTTGCCCACCTCCTATTCAATATAATCATTTCTCCAATATGGTCTGGGTACCTTGGTCTTCTGGCGATTCAAACAAGAACGCAGCCTCCGACGGCGGCCGCGTTGCTCCGGACCGAACGAGTCGCGCGCGCTGCTGGGAGGGTCGTGATCGATTTTTCGCCTGCCTTGACAAGAACGATATTCTGGACGGCATTAAAGATGATAAGAAGGCGCGACAAAAGTGCGCGGACGAGGTTGTGGAGTTTGAGGCGGCATGCTCACAAAGCTGGGTACGTACGGTGTGATTTTTGATCGGTTGCTCAGAATTACCAGCTTTTGGTGTTTTCTAGCCTGCTCTACTTTATATCTATTCACCGGGAGATTACTGACTCGAGAATCTTGGTGGTCTACAGGTGAAATACTTCAAGGAAAAGCGTGTGATGGAATTCAACCGGGACAAGACGATCGAGCGCATTCAAAAGGAGGATGCGGCCAAGGTGAAGGAATTGAAGCAGCAGGGTTGGAATTCGAAATAAGAAGCCATAGGGACTTTGTCGGCGAACTTTTGTACAATATGTAGCATATCCTCTCTTATCATGTACCTTGATGACCATTCCATTTCGAAGGTACATTGCTAGAGCTGCAAGCCTAAGACGGCTTGATTGCTTAGTATTACTTTGTATTTCCTGCACAACTCAAGCTTGAAGACTGAATTTTAGTCGCCTTTGACTTGGCCAGCCTTTGAGCGCTTCCAAAACAGCGGCACTAAGAAGCCTTGGAGAGCCTTTGGCTGAGAGAATATAGTAGAATAAGCTAGGCGCACATACATTAGTACCAAAGGAAGAGATATCACAACCAATAACATAACCCAAAATATCTTGGAAATATCCGTATTATGTCCAGGGAAAAGTAGACCAGTAGTCACAATGAGCAAGAGTCCAATGGTTGAAAATACATGTCAACTCCATCCTAAATACCGCCTTGTCCTAATATCTACCTAATATCTTACTGCCTTTGTGACACATGAGAAGCAACGAGCAAAAAAGGGAAGAAAAGGAAACGCCTAGTGTTGCGAGAACTGGTTTTTGGCCAACCAGAAGAAAAAGAAACCGAAGGAGAGCACCACTGAAATCCACCAGTAGGAATGCAAGAACGCCAGGCTCCAGAAAAGTGAACAATGACGAGATGAACCTTAAGTTCGAATGAGAATGAGAGGTAGTAAGAGAGTCGTGAAATCATTGCTTCCATTTAGCCAGGTGCTGCATCAGGTTCTGTACCTGGGGACCGACGGGTCCCTGGCCCTGCTGCTGTTGTCCACCTAGTCCTTTGGCCAGGAGCGAGAGCAGGGTTGGATCAGTGATGACGGGTGCATTTACAGGCTGGATATTGAAGGGTTGGTGGGGAAGGGGTTGCTGCTGGGTGGTTTGCATAGGCGGAGGCCGATGTGCGTTGGTCAGGAGACTGGCGAGGTCGGCCGGAGGTGGGTTTGGTGAGGAAAAGGGCGACTGAGTGGCGGACACGGGCTGCGAATGGGGAGGTCGTTGGAGCGCCGACAAGAGAGTTGAAAGGCTAGGACCATCCAGTGAACCAATGAGGTTCGCAATGTTGGGTGGGTTTGAAAGCGCAGGCATCCCAGGCGGAGGAACCGACATGGGCTGTGCGGAAGGGACGATGAAAGCAGGACCGGGGGCAAATGCGGCTGGGGCTGCTCCTCGCTGCATCGCTTGAGATTGGTGGCTTAGGAGCTCCGCAGACATATTAGGCTCGAGCTCAGGGTAATCTGTGGGAGGGAAAATAAAGATGAGCTAGGCTGTGATGGAGAAATGAAGGGGGAATGCGCTTACCGAGGAAGCGGACGTTATCCAATCCGGCGGTTCGATCAAAGAGCTGCAGGGGAATCTTCCGAGAAACTTGATTCGGGCGAGAGAGGCGAACAACCGCAAGAACACCTTCAATAAACTGACGATGCACGGCGGCGCCCAGTGGGATCCGTGGACCAAGCACCAGGACATCCACTCGCAATCCACGGTTGCGGAAAGCGTTCTCTACATGAAGAACGAAGTTTCTTCGCAATGTCAGTGGCTTGGTCCAAAAACAACTCCATGTATTCAACGCACCTATCAAGTTCCTCCAGTACGAGGAGCTGCACCTCCGGCACATCTCGCTGAGCTCGTCGAGGCACAGGCAAATCCGCTTCACCTTCATAAACTCCACGTGGTCTTGGGCTGATGCTGCGGTAACGTCGATCTCTGGAATAAGGAGAGCGAGGAGAACGTGGAGAACGGGAGCGCCTTCGCTCGCGGCGATCAAATCTTTCTGGGGTTCTGTCGCGCGACCGATATCCATCTCTAGACCCCCGAAAGGGTCGCGGAGAAGGCGATCGCGGCGGGCGATAATCGTCGCGTCTGCTGCGGTGAGAAGGTTCATCCCGGAAATCGCTAAATGGAAGCCGACTGGATTCATAGGACTTGGATCGGTCATATCGATCGACCGGGCCTCGGACATTAGTTCGTCCAGAACTGGCACGGCTGAACTCAGGTGACCGGGAGCGGCGTGGCGGCGGTACGCGGGAAGCTTCGGTTGCTTGAGCAGGCCGAGTCGATCGCTGAGGTTTTGAAATTTCAAGGTCTGGGGACTATTAGATCTTTGAGAGAGATATGCAAGGTTAAGGCTTCTGGCACTCACGTATCTTCCTGCCCCGCACGACGGCTCCTTGTTCAACACCGAGAGCCGCATGGCAGGAACTCGCCTCCAGAAACTGTATGAAGCCGTACGCCTGCTTAATCGATATCTGAGCTAGTTTGCCGTACTTATGGAAGATATGGAACATGTCTCGCTTGGTAACTCTCTCAGTAGGGAGATTACCTGCATATGAAAAAAACCGTTAGATGGACGGATGGTGGATAGAAGCGACAACGATACTGACCGACAAACAGCCTGGAGCCTATCGGAAACCGATCCCAAAGACCTTCTGTCACATAGATCCGCTCATCGTGCAGGAACTCATCATATTTCTTTTGGACCTCTGGACCCCAGGGCGCATCATCGTCAGCAGGCTTGATAGGCCGACCATGCTTGTCAACACGGCCTTTCTTGGAGGCTACAGAAGGCTCTATCAAGGAGCCTTGAGATTCGGCACCGGTGGATGGGGTTTGCGGGAAGGTGCCATTAGGTAGTAGATTGTTGACGGCCGAGGTCCCTCCAGAAGCAATGTTAAACGGCTGAGACTGGTTCTGGGAATGAGTATTACTAGGTTGGGCTGAATAGCTAGGCGATGTAGTGGCAGCAGCATCATGGGCAGACGGAAGTTGGTGGTATGCCTCGCCATTCGGGGCATAATGGGCCTGGATAGAGGCTTGGCTTTGGGGTTGAGGGTGGGCATGGGTGCCCTGGGGTTTGAGGGACTCGTCAGTGGGTGCTTGGTGGAGAGACGAGTTCTCGGCCGAAGAAGCGGCAGGATTGGTTGCACCAGGGTTGGGGAGAGAAAGGTTGTCGAGGAGACTCTGGAAATTGACACCCGCATTATGTCCCTCGCGTTCCTCAGCAATTAGGCGGTCCGGCATCTTCGATTGCTCCGAGTTGTGGGCATGATCTACTTCGCTCCCAGTGGCAAAGCCTTGGGACACCGGAGCAACCGGAGCAGCGTGAGAATAAGTGAAATCGGGGTGAGAGAGATCTGAGTTCAGTTGGCCGGGATTTTCGGACCCCGAAAGTGGGTTGGGAGGATAACATGCGGAAGCAATTATTTCATTCTGCATCCCAGGATTCGACTGCAAGCCTTGAAAACTACCAGCATGTTGGGTACTCGGTTCCCTCTGCCCGTCTGTTAACCCCCGTGCGACCATCCATGTGTTTGCGGGACCTGATTATACACCGAGCGTTCATAGGTGGAGGTATCGTTGAAGACGGGGTCCATTTGGTTCTCTAAGACTGGGATATTCGATGGCTCGGGAATATGTAGAGGTCGAGGGCTTTCCGGTGTCAGAGTCTTTCCGCGAAAGTGAAGCGCTTCATCGGGGGGACTGGGCGTCATGTAGACTTCGAGAAGGAGGTGGTTTCATCTACGGAGAAAAAAGTGTCGTGATGAAGAGGGTCCCCCGGGCCAGGAATTTTCGCAATCGCAAGCTAAGGTGGGGCGATGAAGAAAAAGATGGGTCGGATTTCTGCCTTTACCCAAGAGGGAAAGTAGACAGAGTGAAAAGGAAGAAAAAATAGGCGATGAAGAAGGAAATGGGGAATAGGTGGGGGGCGGGTTTGGGGAGTTTCTAGAGGTGAGCAGTGGAAATGGACAGACAAGTCAGGTGAGCAAGATTGGAGGCGTTGAGGATTCTGGAGCGGACCTATTTTTTCAGTATCACGAGGATATAAGTTGTTAGTTTTTTTTTTTTTTTTTTTTTTTTGAATGTAGCTAAAGTGTAGAGCAGTGGTTGATGTAACCACTATTATGGACTATTGACTATGAACCACTATATCACTATACAATATATAAGATACCCATTCCAAGTTCACTACAAACAACCTTGGAATTTAAACACTCATATCTCTCTAATCACTTAAAATCACTTAAATCACCCTAATATGATGATCCCAGTCAAATAAAAGCTTCTGTTACGTACAGCGGGGCCAGACGGTCTTTTTTTATCTTTGGATTTTAATTAGCCACTCCACCTCTTAACTTCCTCATGTATTCCCACCGTATACAGTACTTGAGGGTACTCTTCAGAGCACCCTTGAGAGGATTTGCCTCTCGGGGTGATCAAGATATACAAATAGCCAGAGATTGGCTCGAGACCTTCAATTCCAAAACCATCCCTCGGAACATTTGCGAGGTCTCTTTCAGTCGGTCTGGCGGTCCGGGTGGGCAAAACGTGAACAAGTCAGTGTCCCCACTTGAAGATCGATGGTACGGAGTACTGAATGTTACAATGCTAAGAAAGGAAATAGGGTCAACTCCAAAGCCACCTTGAAAGTCCCATTGGATGCGTTGCTACCCTTGGTGCCCCGTCTGATACATCATCCACTACGCGCTTCGCGATATGTCGCCGAAAGAACCCAATGTCTAGTCATCCAGTCAGACGAGGAGCGGAAACAGTCCAACAATGTGGAATCCTGCTTTAACAAGCTTAATCAGCTGTTGCAGTCCTCGGCTAAGGAGGTGATTCCTGGAGAAACATCTCAAGCGCAGAGAAATCGCGTGCAGAAGTTGTATGTTTACTCTTTTCATGAAAGCATTTGAGCAGATCTAATAGGGAAAAACACACACAGACAAAGGGCTCAAAATGAGGGTCGGATAAAAGACAAGAAACAGCACAGCGAGAAGAAAAGTAGTCGTCGGGGAAGCAAATACGACGATTGATAATAATCATGCAGACCTGATGAAAGCATAGGGACAAGTTCGCCAGTGGGCCCTGAATTTTGATAATATCCGATCAACGCCTATGTGTGCTAAGTACAAATACTTGGGGTATGTTATGTATACTACTCTTGCGCTGCGCGCTCCGCATTGCGGACGGTAGCCGCAATGACCTTTTGCAACGAAGGATCCAGGCCTTCTGTTGTCTGAACAGGCTGAAGCCAGTTGATCACTTGGCGCGCGAGATCCTTACCCATGGGGTACTCCCTGAGACGGGTCAGCGAGCTACCAAGTGCCTGTGGGAATTCGGCCGAAGTAGGGGGGATTCCAGCGGTCGGGAACTTGATGTAGCAGATCTGCGTCCGTGGGCTGGAAGGCTTGTTGGCGCGCATCATCTCAATAACATGTTCCAAAATCTTGCGCTGACAAGGCGCATCCTGGAATTCGCAAACCATATCGAAGAACTCCTGGCCAAAGCGATCATCGTGGTCAAAGTGCTTTGTGGCGGTATCAAAGATGGCGAGCGGGATAGCACCGCTCAGAGCAGGCGTGGAGTTCATGTTTTGCAGCGCAACCTGGTCTACTTCTCCGTCCGCTCCTGTGCTGGGGTTGATGTCCTCAGCGGTGAGTGATGGGAGGGCAATCATGTCGGCATCGGTGTCGTCGACTTCTTCTTGGATGGGCTTAGGCTTCTGGCTCTCCTCATCAAGACCGAGAATCCGTTGGCGAGCGACCAGCTTTGCGATGTAAATCAATTCCAGCTTTGCATATTGGATCCAAATTGTTCTTGCGCTCTTGCAGAACCGTAGACCACGCTGCATGTAACTCCGGGCCTGTGTCATATCTCCGTGATCATCGAGAACGTGCTTAGCGGCATAAATCCATAAGTCGGCGCTGGTAGGGTGTAGTCGTAGAGCATCGGTGAAAATCATCTGGAGCTTCTTGTGTGCCTTTTGTTTGCGAGCATATTCGATGTACTGGACCCAGAGGTTGATATCGCCGTGGAACTTGCGTGTAGCTCGGTCGAGAACGAAGAAAATACGTCGCTGGCCGTTGAATCCTGCTGACCGAATCCCAAGTCGCTTCACCCGCTTCTTTCGCAGCACATCGAGGTTCATTTCATATTCAGCATAACGCACGAAATCAACCGGCTGTGCACCACGTGCGTTGAGCTTGTGCTCAAAATCAGATCGTTTTTTGACGATTGAGGAAATTTCATCCTATTTATGCTGATCAGCTGTCATTCTGATGGAAGAACTTCGCTTTGCGACATACCTTGGTGAAAATCTTCTTGCGCTCATATTCCTTGAGCTCGGGCACTGACTTCTCGAGGAAGAATCGAGCCTTATCTGTTGCGGCAGACATGATTGCTGTTCACTAAAGAGTGTTAAAAAAAAAGTCGGCATCCCGCATTGAAAAAACACCGATTAGCCCCAGAGGGCGCTTAGCCGCATTAGGTTAGCGCACAGGGTGCTCAGAACCACCGAGGGATCCGGAAGTTGTTTTCATTTCCCTCAGGGGCCATTTGCTCGTGACATCTACTTGTTTAAGTCATTCTCTCTTTCGTTCTTTTTCTTGACGTTCTTTTCTTTCTCAACTGTTTTTTTCTTTTATAGGTGCAGAGATTGCCTTCCCCTCTGTGCCACCATGGCTCCCCGATATAAGGACGGAGATGCCGTGGTCGCCGTAAGTTCTAAAGCGCCGTTCAATGCGGATCGAACGCCACTGACCGGATACTCTTTGCAGATCAACGGCAAATGGGTCGCCTGGACTCACACAGTTTTCGCATATGCTGCGTTTATCAGCGCGTTGATTGTTGGCGTTGCTTTGCACTACCACAAGATCGTTCAAAACGAATACTACGGCTACCCCATTGAATGGTTCCCGTCTGTGTCTGCGACCATCGGTGACCGATATCCCGAACGGTCTTTTTCATGGTTTTTATTGCTATTACTTCCGGCCCTCGGTTTGCTCTCGTCTTTCTGTGGTACATCCTCACTTCGCGTCCGAACTCAACCTTACCCAAGTTGGTTGCCGGCGTGGGCATTTTCCGGACATTAACATGCGGTGGTTGGACCTATGTCACATCTACTGATGACCACGACTGGCATGACATCTTCATGATCTCGTACTTGGTGGCTACCTTGCCGTGGACCTTGGGTTGCCTTGCGCTCAGCCCGAACAACCGCCGTGCGGTCAAGTACCGTAAGATCATGGCCAGCTTGTTCTTTGGTACTTTGCTTCCCTTGATCTACTACTTCATTCAGCACAAGGTCCACAAAGTCCCTGGTGGTGAGTACTTGTCCTTGCGAGGATCCATTGAAAGGTTACCACATGCTAATCAGTCAAATACTTAGCCTACACTAAGTATGCATTCTTTGAATGGTCCCTAATTTTGTTCGATGTCGGTTTCGATGCTATCACAGCTCTTGACTTTGAGAGCTTCGAATTGGTGGTGAGAGATGTTAAGGGCGTTAGCAGAGGGTATGTACCGTGGCTTCCGAAATGACACTGTCCACATCAAATGTATAGTGCCAGAGGCTATATTTGTGTTTAACAAAGAAAACATTGTCTAAGTCTGTGCTCATTAGGCAATTGAAAACGACTGCGGATGCTGTCTTGGAAAAAGAGTGTGTACAATTCCATAACGAAATACAGCTATCCCGAAAATTAACCACGTGCGTAGGAAGGGCAAGCCAGTGGGCAACACCTTTGGCGAGGGCTTCTTCTGGGCTGAGATTATTGATGCTGCCTCGGATGTCTACAATGGGGTAAATTGTATATGTCGACCATTGGCCTCCTGCGTTACTGACAATGGGCTCTAGTTTGTTTTCTGGACCATCGTGACTGCTCTGCCTGTCCTTGTCTGGTGTAAGTAGAATCTATTCCCTGATATGAAAGGGCATTCCTGATTTTGATAGACTTTCCTCTTTGGCATATGGGTATCTCTGGCTACGAGGTTGCCATTGTTTGCTGCACATCTCCGTTGTTTTACGTCATCCCATCCCTGCGATATGCAGCTGCGAAGAATGTTCGCCTTCTCCACCTGGTCTCACTTGTTGGTCTTCTTGGATACAAGTTCCAGGATCCTGCAAACCGCCTCTTTGTAACTGGGTTCGCTCTTTCTACTACTTGTGCAGCATGGACCGCTAGCTTCTTTTCCGAGAGGGCTAACACTCCCCGTCTCGAAGCCCGTATCATGGCTTGGGGAATCGGTCTGATCATGTCCGTCGTTGCCAAGTTCGCATGCAAGACAAACAACCCCCTTTGGCCAATTATGCACGCCGAGAATGGTGGCTGGAACAAAATCGGAATTTTCTTTGCTCTGTTCGCCGTTTTGAGGTCCCAGAGAGGCTCAAACACGAGCGGGGGTGATTACTTACCAGCAGGTGGTAAGAAGGGCTCGTCCATTCTTGCTGGTGTCGGATTTGGCGGTCTGATGTTCGCCATCGTCTCGCTTTTGACTGACTCGAGTACAATGATTTCGTGGGTCTGGGACGGATACCCAGTGCGCGGACCAATCGCAGCTCCTCACGGTGCTCTGACAATATTCGCAATGGGAGCCGGCCTTGTGTACGGCATCTTCCACCCCGGAGTTGCTGGAAGCTGGACGGCCTTCGGTGTCGGTTCCATTGGTGCTGCTCTTCTTACTTGCTATCACCACTGGACTGGATTCTATGGTGCCCTCGTTCTTGCGTTCTATATCATGGCCGTTGCCCCCGTTCTGATTGCATCCAGCGTTCGTCATTCTCCTGCGAGCACATTCGGCATCGGGTTCATCGTTTATGTGGCACTTTTGCTCTTCCACGTTTGGGTTGTCGCCTATGCCTTCGTGCCAGGTGGTCCATTCCTTCGCGAGCACACTGACTGGCTCATGACCACTATGATGCTGTCTATCGGTGCGGGTGTTTTCTCTGCGGCGACCTCGAACTCGACTCGCTCCCGCAAGCCTCACAAGCCCGTCAACCCTAACAGCAGGAAACAGCGATCTTACTATATCTACGTTCTTGCTGTGTTGCAACTACTTTCTGTGTCCATTGCTTACCTTCGCTTCCCGACCAATGACTACACCCCTTATCACAAGGAGGACAAGGTTGTCACTGCTGGTATCTGGACTGTCCACTTCGGTCTTGACAACAATATGTGGTCATCTGAGCGCCGCATGCGCGACGTCATCGGCGAGCTTGAGCTGGATGTCATTGGTTTCCTCGAATCCGACAACCAGCGTATCATCATGGGCAACAGAGACGTCACCCAGTTCATTGCCGAGGACCTTGGATACTACACTGACTTCGGCCCCGGTCCCAACAAGCACACTTGGGGCTCCGCCTTGCTGTCTAAGTTCCCCATCGTCAACTCTACCCATCACCTCCTCCCCTCGCCTGTCGGTGAGCTGGCACCTGCAATCCACGCCACACTCGATATGTACGGCGAGATGGTTGATGTTGTTGTGTTCCACTCCGGACAGGAGGAGGACCCCGAGGACCGCCGCTTGCAGAGCGAGTATCTGTCAAAGCTGATGGGCGACTCCCCGCGTCCTCTGATCCTGTTGAGTTACCTCGTAACCAAGCCGCTCGAGGGTAACTACAACACCTACGTGAGCGAGCGTAGCCAAATGAAGGACATTGACCCTACCGACTGGGACAGATGGTGTGAGTACCTTCTCTTCAAGAAGCTTCACCGTACTGGCTACGCCAGAATCAGTCGTGATACCATCACGGATACGGAGATCCAGGTAAGTAATGTTGTCTCTTCATCTCGACTCCTGCGTGTGCTTGATTTCTGACTGTTTTGTGATTTAGGTTGGAAAGTTCGTCATTGGCGAGCCCGAGCCTGAGAATGAGATGCGTATCCCAGAGGAAATGGTCCCCGTTGGCCGCCGCTTCCCTGCCTTGTTCCGCGGCCAGGGAGTGCGCGGACACCGCTACCACGTCTTCGACGAGCCCAGGTACTGGCAGTAGACAGTCTGCCTGGGTGCGGAGCGTAAACACGCTTCGTTGCGCAAAAGTTCGCCTAAAGAAGATTGAATTTTATGAGTTTGCCATATCGCGACATAATTACGGACCGAATAAGGCAGACATTTCACTATCCTTGAGGCTGTCAATATACCTAGCCTACTTGAGTGACGGGATTATTTTTTGTCGATCGTTTTTTTATTCTACTGTGTTTACTTTTGACTCGTGATTCTCGACCTCCAACATATTCGTACATCGCATGACCCGAGGGACTGGGATTTAATGTATTGCATCCCACATGGTATATGGAATAGGAGATCCTCTAATTATGAGATTCTACCTCACAGAGGATAGTCACATGTATATTCTCACCAAACTCCTTTCACTAGTACTAGAGTACTTTCTCCCTTGCTGCTTTGATAATTTTGTCAACTTGGTAATCATGAGAGAACAAATGAGCAAGCTACTAACAATAATTTTAGCAGTCTCAACTAGCATGTGGGAACCCTAGCAGCAACCAGATCGACAGGTTCATAATACAGCATCTCCGACGCCACCGGAACATCGGGATGTTCTTTGTGTCAAGATGCTAAAAAATTACAAGCCATCCCAAACTCAGAAACTTGAAAGCTGCCGCTTTCGTATCGTAACTTGGATGTTCTTTGTCCTGTGCTGATGGGCGTCCGCTAATAATAGCCCTGGCCACGATCAAAGATGACTCGAATACAACCTAGTCAATCAGATCAATCCCAATCAAGTGAGGTTACCTCGCGTCTTTTTCTCTGCCAAATTGATCTTGTCCTTCAGCATTTAGTATGGAGACATTGAGTATTCAGCATAGGGCAATGAAACCAGACTAGCATGACTGCCCAGGTCTGAGTGCATTCTAGCCCTACTTAGTACTGTATCTAAACAAACGGACTTTCCATGGCTGTACGGATTCATTGATCCCCAAAGCCCTTTGAAGGGTTCTGGTCAAATTCCAGTGCTGGATCTAGACAACGGGGGAAATGCAGCTCGCTTTGTTTCGGAGGCACTTTCGCGATAGGAAATAAGGGGGACCATTGCCAAATCCAGACACGAACTGGGTATCGGTCTCACTTGGTCAGCTCTTTTGCTTGGAAATAGCTGGTTTTCCTACTTAGAAGCAAGCCCTAACTCGTCCCCGCAGTGCCATTTCCCATGAAAATTAATCTAATTTGCTACAGGGCTAGTTTATTGGATTTGAAACACCAGTGTTGGAATGTCTCGTCCAAATTAAGCAAGATAGGAGGAATTACTCAGGATGATCAGGAACATTGGCTTAAATCCTGTCATCTGAACTTGCAAATTGAAAGATTTTCTTTTTGGGTCTGATACACTGGAAAACACTCCTATTCTTTTTGATATAATCATTTCCTAATTGAACATCGATCTTTGGCTTTGCTACCTGCGGTTTCTGTTCTTGTTCATTGTTTTACATGGGCCATTCGAAGTCTGATGACACTTTCTTTTTTTCTTTGAGCTGCCTGGTCTCGATAGCTTGGGTTCCTTAATCTGTTCTGCGGGCTTCTAGCTGGTATTTCTCTGCTGCAGTCCCTGGGAACTTTGATTTGGAGCGAGCGGATACCGACGGAGGGTTGACAAACCGTATACACCTGTTACGATACAGCTGCGAGTAGCTCTGGATGAACCAAAGTCAATTGCAAGAATCTGAACATTGTATAAAGATTGACCTGAAACGCTCTTTGTCAAGGCCCCTCGGCGTATCTGCAATAAGCTAGGTGCGGTCAACAAAGAAGAGGCCTCGAAAAGATATTTTTAATTTTCTTTGTATTGGCAAGTATGTGCATCTTTCTTGGTCGCTCTCTGCTTGTGCTTTGTCTGCTGGCGAAAATAGGTGACCCCGTCTCTGTCTTCTATTAATATAGACCCAACATGTCCATATCTATCCTCGACCACGAACACAAGAACGACTTTCTTGACTTGAGTCTTCTATCGCCAGATCAATCATTATCGTTAGAATAGTAGCAATTGATAATAAGTATGGTCCTCGTGTCATCGTTTTATATATTCTCTAACTAATAGATCAACACAGAGAGGAAGACCATCGATCAACGTGAAAGAATGGTTAGAACACGAGCAATGGCTACGGGTACCCGGCCAAAGGCCCAGCCTCTCCCGGCAAAGCCTACCCAGGCCGAAAAAGCCGCCAAAGCCGCCAAACTAAAGGCTGAGAGGGAGGCAAAAAAGGCCGAGAAGGCTGCAGCGAAGGCTGTAAATGATGCGAAGAAAGCTGCAGTAAAAGCAGAAAAGGACGCAATTAAGGCCGAAGCGAAGGCCAAGAAAGCTGCAGAGAAGGCTGCAGCAAAGGCTACAGCAAAGGCCGCGAAAGTTTCCAACACCAAACTCAGCACAAAACGCGCAAAGAGCACAATGGGCATACCTGCCGCAAAGGCTAAAGCTACCAAAATCACCAAGGCCACAAAGGCCACAAAGGCCACAAAGGCCACAAAGGTCACCAAGGTCGCCAAGGTTGCCAAAGTTGCCAAAGCTACGAAAAATATCAAAAAGGCGAAAGCTGCAAAAAGAGTTAGCGCAGTTCTTGTGGAACCTCTAGCAAATCAATATGAAGAAGAGACAGATGATGACGATGATGATGATGAAGATGAAGATGAGGATGAAGAGAACGAAGATCACATTGAACCACAGGCAAAAAGGCGCAAGATTGCGACTCAGGATCTTCGCAGACCTTATGTCGAAGTCAGCGCGCCTAAAGCAAAGCGTCCGAGCTTCCAAATTGGGGAATGGAACTACATGAGAAAAGCATTTATTCCAGAAGGTCTGGAGAACGAAAATAAAGGACCTCTACCAGACATCTATATTGGAGGCACTGCACCACAGCCTCGTTGGGTAATCACTCAAAATGAAGTCATACAACTTCCTATCAAGCGACAACCTGCCTCCTCAAATGCCAGCTCCGGGAGTATGGAAAAAAGGGAATTTGGAGGTTTACAGTGGATCTTTGAAGAAGGCGATTTCCAGAATTGGGCCGGGCTGGAATACCCAGCTCTTTACGAACTTGCGTTCTTGTGCCTCGAATATACCCTCATTGATTCAAAGATCCGAGAGCAGATCTATGATTCCCTGGCTCAGGGCCCCTTGCCCAAGGAGGCAATCGAAGGGAACATATGGTACCCAGCTCTGCCGCCGATTCCCATCACAAGGCATTTCATTCCAGGATCCTCCGCGCAAACTAGTCGAAAGTCAAGTGATGCGACCTTTTATTTCGGAAGCTATGAGCGCCCAAACGTGGCAGTTCAACGTCGTGATGAACGCCTCGCGCAGCTGTACCCGCAGGCCGTGGCTTCCAGTCTATATATTCGACCGACATCCGAGAATTGGCCGAGTGCTCCGCGCTCTGCAAGTCCAGATCCAGAAAACGAGGATGGTAGCGAAGAAAATCAATCAGTCAAGTCCAGGAAGTCTGTGAGAGGGAAGCTTTACCGGGAACGAAATCCAGTGGACACTTTCTCCGGACCGACAGCAACTATGTCTCTTCGAAACGAGCAGAGCATCAAACAAGACATGGAACAGGCCAGCGAGCAAGATTTCGAGCAGGACAGCGAGCAGGACAGCGACGATAGCCGGTCAGCTAGGTCCAGGACGTCGTCTGCGTCCAGGAAGCTTGACCTGGAACTAACCCAAGAGGGCACTTATTCGGAGCCGACAACCCCTGTGTCTCTTGAAAATCATGAGAAACATGCACGACTTGGTGAGTTTGAAGATACCTAGTGTAGTTGATTGTCCCATTCTCTGTATGTTTCTTTGCATTATCCTGTATGCATTCAGGGTGGTCGAATAATTTAACCACGGGTGTGCCGATGGATCGATGTATGCGAGTGTTTCATCTATACTGGAACACAATGAGCTACATGGAAGCAGCCCGATTTGAAGTGTCTAACTTGAGTCTTTGGACTGGTTGTCATATTCTGAGGAACAAGAGGGCTGATCACTTTCACATTATTCATTGCTCTTTACCTGTTGCACACTGACTATATATTCGCGCAATATGGTAACTAATCGGCTCTAGGCATAGCCTCGGAAAATGGTTCAATATTTGGTGACGGTGATGACTTCGAAGATAACACTCAAGCAGAGCCTGGCTCGGCTCGAGACTCTCGAGAACAATCTCCTAACAGCCTCTTCTCTGGCTCCGGGTCCGACAGCGAGGTCAGCGCTTCTCCCGATAGCAATGAGCAAAGCAATGTCAACGTCGCTGACGATAATAGCGCCCAATCGACGAATAGCCTGTCCCCAGTATGCCATGATGGGCTCTTCAGCCCTGGACAGATTGATAGCTATTATCGCGAGAGGAACAGAGTTTGTAAGTAAAGTTCCCAATTGAGGTATTTTCAGCTGTTTGATTATCTGCCCCCTTGATCAATTATGCTAATGTTTGTTTCAAGTTGAGCAGGAAAGGCTAGGCGGACTTGGACCTCACGAAGCGCCAGAACGAAAGAGCCAAGCACAATCCTCAAGCTCTGGGACGGATGTATGGGAGCCAACCAGAGCCGTAATGGGAAAAAGAAGTTTCGAAGAAGAGCTCGGAAGTTCAAGTAAAAGAAGTCGACTGGAATCGCCATTAACACCGTCACTACCCGCCACTCGAAGAAAGATTCCGGCTGATACCAGGGCGGACAATGTTATGACATTCGCAGAGATGCTACAAAAGCAACGGGAGGAAATGCGAGCCACTGCAGCAGAGAAAATATCAGACAAACCGCCGGTGGCACTCTTGAAGAAGGCTACGCAAAATCAGGCGAGTGCAAGATTACAGGCGGATGCACCTAGTCCTGAGATTCTGCCTAATCTGCAAGACAAGTTCCTTGAACAGACTAAGGCATATCTCAATGATCCAATCCAGAGGGCAAAACATTTCCCTGACCCTCTTGCTGTCCGCCGAGCTAGGGTGTGGGCAGGGGAGGAAGTAGTGGGCTATGAGATCAAACCCACAGTCGACGCCACACTTCCCCCTTGGTCTGAAAGGCATCGGCCTTTCGGTCAATGGCAGGATCCGGTAAGTGCCTCGTTCATGAGAATTTTGAGAACCACGCTGACCTACTCGATTAGATTGGGGTAGCCCCTGGGCCTGCGATGCGCACAAAGGTCTCGAGATGGAAAAAACGGAGCAGGGGACAAAGTAAGAGAAGACCAAGACCAGCATCTGCAAAGGAGCAGTCAGTCAGTTCAGCCCGGTGGTCCCCGTTTAGATAAATGGGTTTTGTGTTTCTCCGTGGCTTCGTAGTCAGGCTTGGAATATTCATATGTTTGATTGTTCGTTTTCGAGTTATATAGGTCAGAAGTTTTGGATGTCTATGCCTTTTTATTTAAGCTCACTTTGACTTTTAGCACATGTATATATCTTCATTTGACCGTCATCATTGTTTGAATTAGTGTTCATTTCATTCTCACAGCACTAGGTTAACGCAAATCGTGTATACTGTACATCGTGGTTGTATGTCTTTGAGATTGGAGCAGAGACCCTAGGACCCCAGCAGGATAATTCCAAGCTTGTTAGTCTTTCATGTTGTCCCGTTGTGGAATATGCCAGCCATTATCGCGTGCAACATCCCATTGCATGGTATTCAAGTAAATTTCATGCTTATAAAGAACAACTTTTATCCAGAATTAGATAAAGTGTGTCCGAAAAAACCCTTACAGGTGTAAGTGAAGGACTTAATCTATACAACAGGTTCTAGCATTGATAGGCGTTGCTGAGTGTCACGTGCGAACAGAACAAACAGCTCACCCGCCGTCTGGTATCTTTCGTCTTTGTTCGCGAAAGTCGGATCAATTTGACACCCTGGGATAATGGATCAATCTTGGAATTGAGATATTATATCGAGGCATACAGCTGCATTGATCGTGACTGATCTATCGTCGCTGGTCTAGAACAATCGCGGCTGCTAGGTTTGCCCTAACGGCAGACTCACGATGTTCACTTTCACTCCCCTCCTTGGGGCTCAGTCGTCATCTTCGAGGGCGTCGCAGTCTATCCTGGAGCTTGATGGAGGCATCAAAATTCTGGTGGACGTTGGCTGGGATGATAAGTTTAATACCCTTGATTTAGCGGAACTAGAGAAGTGAGCATGCGATCAACGCGTTCCCTTCAAATTCAGATGAGCTAACATCATTTTCAGGCATATTCCTACACTTTCTCTCATTCTCTTGACGCACGCGACGCCGGCACATATCGGCGCTCTAGTCCACTGCTGCCGAACATTCCCCCTCTTCACGCAAATTCCAATCTATGCAACGAATCCCGTCATCGCCTTCGGCCGTACGCTCCTACAAGACCTTTATGCCTCCGCTCCGCTTGCTGCTACATTTCTTCCGAAGGCTTCTGTTTCAGAGCCCGGCGCATCGTCAGCAGGATCTACGACTGTGTCAGGCGGAGATACCGAAGCCGCTGACAACACAAACCGAATACTTCTTCAATCGCCGACAGCCGAGGAAATTTCTCGCTACTTCTCCCTCATTCAGCCACTCAAATATTCCCAACCACACCAACCGCTCCCATCGCCTTTCTCCCCACCGTTGAACGGACTTACTCTCACGGCCTACAATGCCGGTCACACCGTCGGTGGAACGATATGGCATATTCAGCATGGGTTGGAATCGATTGTTTATGCAGTGGATTGGAACCAAGCTCGTGAGAGCGTGGTCGCAGGCGCTGCGTGGTTCGGTGGATCTGGCGCTAGTGGAGCAGAAGTCATTGAACAGTTGCGCAAACCCACGGCCTTGATCTGCAGCACAAAGGGAGGCGATAAGCTAGCACCTTCGGGGGGTCGGAAAAAGCGAGATGATCTCCTGCTCGACATGATCAGAAGTAGCCTTGCGAAAGGTGGAACAGTCCTCATCCCAACAGACACAAGTGCGCGAGTTCTTGAACTGGCCTACGCACTAGAACATTCTTGGCGCGATGCCGCGAATGGCGACAAGGAAGATGTACTTCAAGGATCTGGCTTGTATCTGGCCGGCAAGAAGGTCACCAACACAATCCGACTCGCCCGAAGCATGCTGGAGTGGATGGACGAAAATATTGTTCGCGAATTTGAAGCAGCGGAAAGTACAGATGTCACAAACGGACAAAGGACAGGTGGGCAGGATAAGAGCTCTAGCAAGGGCGGGGGACCATTTACTTTCAAGCACCTCAAGATCATTGAGCGCAAAAAGCGACTTGAGAAGCTCCTGGCAGAACCCGGACCTAAAGTAATTCTTGCATCCGATACCTCATTGGACTGGGGCTTCTCAAAGGATGCACTTCGACAAGTAGCAGAAGGACCGAACAATCTATTGTTACTGACGGAGTCCTTCCGCATGGACATGCAGACTCAAGAATCGAAACCATCACAGAGTTCGCAAACAATTGGAAGCATGATCTGGCAATGGTACGAGGAACGAAGAGATGGTGTGGCTCTAGAGAAAGGATCTGATGGTGAACACATCGAGCAAGTCCACAGTGGTGGACGAGAATTGTCTTGGACAGATGTGCAGCGAGCCCCTCTCGATGCTGGGGAGCAGCTGATATACCAGCAATATCTCGCTACCAAGCGCCAACTTCAGGACACATCACAAACACTTGGCCAAGAAACCCTGGAAACCGCCGTGGATGCCCTCGATGATGGATCGAGCTCTACCTCCTCTGATGACTCAGATCCTGAACACCAGGGCCGCGCGCTGAATTTCTCGGCCTCACTTGCACACGCTACTCGAAGCAAACTTGCCGTCAGCGACGAAGATCTAGGCATCAACATCCTTCTTCGTCGAAAGAACGTTTATGATTACGATGTGCGCGGCAAGAAGGGCCGCGAGCGCATGTTCCCTTACGTTGCACCGAGAAAGAAGGGAGACGAATATGGAGAGTTCATTCGCCCAGAGGAGTATCTTCGGGCCGAAGAACGCGAAGAAATTGATATGCAACAACGGCGTACCGATGCCGAGACTAAACTGGGCCAAAAACGACGATGGGATGATGCAGCTGGTCCCCATGGACGCAAGTTGTCTGGCAGCGCAACAGGACGGAAGCGTCCTCACATTGATGGCAAGAAGATTGACGATGACGATCTCAGCCTTGTCTCCGATGGCGAAGACGCTGATGTAGCTGCGGAGTCCGAAGATGAAATAGAAGGCCAGTCTTTCGAAGGTCCTGCGAAGGTCCTTTACCATAGCCAGACCATCACCATCAACGCTAGGATTGCGTTTATCGACTTCATGGGCTTGCATGATAAGCGCAGCTTGGAAATGTTAATTCCACTAATCCAACCTCAAAAGTTGATCCTTGTTGGTGGCATGAAGGAAGAGACATCAGCATTGGCAGCTGAATGCCAGAAACTGCTGACAGTCAAGCTCGGCGCTACCAGTTCTGACCCCACGTCTGACTCGGGTGCCATTATCTTCACTCCGTCGAACGGCGAAGTCATCGATGCAAGTGTCGATACAAATGCCTGGATGGTCAAGCTGAGCAACACGCTCGTCCGACGCTTGAATTGGCAGCATGTCCGCAGTCTCGGCGTGGTTGCTCTCACAGCACAATTGCGAGGACCGGAGCCTATCGCCGCCGAGACCGGGGACGCTGAAATCTCAGGCAAGAAAATGAAGCAACTGAAAGACGAAGCAGCCTCTTCTGCTGTCGCCCCGACATTGGAGCAAACAGACACAAAAGCAATTGACAAGGTGGAGACCTATCCAGTACTTGACACTCTCCCGGCTAGCATGGCCGCAGGGACCAGGTCTATGGCTCGCCCCCTTCATGTTGGTGACTTGCGATTGGCTGATCTCCGCAAGCTGATGCAATCCGCTGGTCACACTGCCGAGTTCCGGGGCGAAGGAACCCTTCTCATCGACAAGTCCGTAGCTGTGCGCAAATCCGGAACGGGTAAGATCGAAATCGAAGCAACGGCGCAGTCTTCCATAGGTCGCCCTACTGGTCGTGGGATTGGGAGCTTCCTTGCTGTCAAAAGAAAAATCTACGAGGGCCTGGCTGTTGTTGCAGGCAGCTAAGGTTATGCACGTGATATGTATTTCTATCTTCTCCCGGTGTATAATTTCATGATCAGCAAAGCCTTCATAGCCACTTCTTTCTTCCAAGCACCAAGAGATCTATAATCGAACGACCTTTATTCTTCTGAAATCTTGCTCGAGTCAATACCGCAGGTAGTATTCTATTCAAAAACAAAACGACTGTATCATCAACGCACAATTTTAACCCGAAACCAACGTGACTCACGGGTCTTTATAAATGCTCAAAACTCCGACAACCTGAGCATAATCTATATCTAATTCTTAAGCTGTAAAATGGAAACAAAAGTTGTTGTCGTGGTGTCAGAGAAGAATCTGCCATCTAAACAGTGATGTCGCCTGACTCTTCGGAATCATTGCCGTCGTCCTCGGTGGGAATTTCTCGTATGATATCATTGGTTTGAGGGCCAGTGTACTTTCTGCAGAAGGAAATGTCAATATCCACTTGAATCACGATAGACGAACTGTTGGCTTTTAGGTATCTTACCCTCGAGCTGCAACCCACCACCATATCATAGCAAAAGCTGCAATAAAGCCGCCAACACAAACGGCGTAGTTCCTGTGTAGAAAATGTTAGCATGGACTTTTCGCAACTGGTCATAAACCAGGTCCAGGCGGCTTACATATTTGCAGGTGTCACAGGAAGCTGTGGGGGGAAGAAAAGAATTGTACTGATGAACAAGACCCAGAAAATGGCAATGTAGTTGATAGAAGTACCCCATTTGCCGAGCGTGAAGGGACCTTCAATAAATTTGACTTTGGATTTATAGAGTTGATGGGCGAGAATGACAGAGACGTAAGACAGATCTAGTGCCGGGGCAGTGATATTGAATATTGCAGTGGCTGTTTGCGTAGAGCCAATGGCGATGCAATTCAAACCCATGCTGAAGATGACCACAAACCACACTGCATTCACAGGGGTATGGGTACGAGAGTTGACCTTGGATAGGAACCTATAATATATCAGTACTGATCGAGTGCAAAGTTTAGACAGCATCCTACTTTGAAAATGGAAGCGCATTGTCTCGGGCAAAGGCATAGGCCATTCTTGTATCTGCCAGCATGGCTGAGCAGCCCGTGAAGAATTGAACCAAAATGACAAATGCCCACATGATTGTGCCACCTCGCTTGCCACCGGCATTGAGGAAGATCTGGGCTGCCGGCATACCGGTAGGAGAGGTTAAAATTCCCTC